GGCTGCCTCTGCTACATCCCTACTAACAATACTGTGAACATGCAGGTGTGGAGTAGGGCACATTTGGAAGCACAGAAGAAGTCTTCAAGGCATCAGGTATGTGTTTCAGTCACAGCAGAGCAACCTCAGATTTCGAGATCCAGGAGAAACACATGGAGAACTGACAAGAGGTTTGCCTGAAGGACTTAAAAATGAATTCTTACAATACCGGTATTTTCTAAGCTGCCCCTTCACCTTAAGCACACCCACAAACACATGGCTCCGCTGAAGTGAGGCATGGTGATTTCTGTTCCCGGGGCACATGGAGTGACATACCAAGCAGAGCCACCCTTTGGGCAGTATCCTGCATCCTCACATGCTCATTTACAGTCTCGTTGGCTGAGGGGGTCTTTTGGCACAAGTTCTCCAGCTAGGCATGCAGAAGATCTGCCGTCTGCACTGAAATCAGTGGGAGTGGTGGGTTTGCTTTCAGTGGAGACAGGTTTTTAGTCCATAGTACTAACACAGCACTTCAGACTACTCATGTGATTTACAACATAAACTAGTTAATCCTTATATATATTCTGAAAGCCAAGCATTGTCATGGTCAGTTTATATTTGAGAGAAATCAGAGGCACAGCAAGGTCACACACTGATACAATGGAAGAAAATGCAGAGCACTGCTAAAACAGGACATAGTCTGACTTGGACACCTAGTGACTTAGCCCTGAAGCAAATGCCTAAGTCTCTTATGTAGAAAAAAAATAATTGGTGCCTGCCAGGAGCTCCAGAGGGAGATCTGGTACCCCTACATAGAGATACCGAAGTTAGACAAGACAGGGAATTTAGACATGTTTTGGGAGCACTGCTTTATGAATTGGGGGCAAGTTAGGTGAGCCAGGTCTATTGTGCTTGGAGCGCCAGTTTTCCTCTTAGCACCTAATCCAAAGTCCAGTGAAGTTAGTTTTAATGTACACATTAACTTCAGTAGGTTTTGGACCAGGCTTTAGCATCTGCTCGAGACTTACCTGAAGCCTCTCAAGTACCATCCCATGTGGTCTTCTGTAATAACAGACCAATTCAGGAGATGCTTGGGGATATCACTGGGACGTGTTTGCTGTGAGGCAAAACTGCAGTCCCAAAGTATTCTAGTATGAGAATTTTATCTTATTTTCAGTACCTGATACTAGGCGGGCATGTTTCCATTACTGTGAAAACTTAAACCCTCATTATCACAAAGTGTTACTTCCACAGGAATCCTGCTATGTTGCCCTGTCCTATTTTGGTGCACATTAGTAGGAATACAAGGATAAAAGGAAACTCCTGTCTAGCAGGTAATACTTTTGTACTGAAGCTCTTTGTTCATGTCACGTCACCTCTGTTGTCCTAGTCTCAGTCAATCGATCACTTGGGACTCCCTAAGCCTGTGTGCAATCCTATTGACTTTACTGAGGCTGTACTGGGGCTGTAATTGGAGTTACACACTCCAGTTCACTCTGGATGCTTAAAATCCTAGGGGTTTTTTGTGGGTAAAAATACAGGTTCCTTCCTAATAAACACTGATGACTTGCAGTACCTCCTGCACAATAAAAGCAGATGACATTAATGCTTCAAAAGCTTTATATTCCGTAAATGGTATTCCTGTTTCTAAGAAGTTTTAGATTGGAACAGCGGGATCCTTATCAAATTTTAAGGGTGCCTGCTAGGGAAAAGGAGTAGATGAGTCCTGACCCTGGGAAAGCCTTTTTTCCCCAATTACAAGCTACCATACACAAGGATTTCTCTTAGTATATGAAGCATAGTGTATTTAAGAGCTTGGAGGCTTTAAAGCAAGTTTGTTGAAGATGTTCTTAAACTGGGAAAATGGGGGGCACCCTCCACTGCCTCTTTCATTGTGAACGACTTCAAATAGGATGGCAAAAAATCTCCTTCAAGTGTGACTGGCAAACACTGCAGTCAGATACAGAGCAAGTCAGATGTTTTAAACAACATTCTGCATTCCATTAGCTACTGCAAACTACTTTCCACAACACAAACGCTTCCTGCAAGCACGTTCCTGCAGTAAGTGGACTGGAAAAACCTAGTCCATTTACTATCAGCTTAAGCACTTGAAAACAGTCTCTAATGAAGTCCCTCCCATGCATCTGAGCATGCGTGTTAGCCTGTTTCGTAACTTCTGCATGATGCTACCGAGATCAACGATCGCTTCTGGCAGCTGGCTTGTACTGTTACTGCTGTATCTGCTGCTTGTACTCAAACCCCATCAGCTGTTCCAGAAATATATGCTGTTTTAATAGTTCCTGGTCATTCACTAACGTTCTCTGGATTCTTATTTTGTAAATGTGCCAGGAAAGAGAACATTTGCCTCCAAGTGAAGAGCCTCAGAAACTTACTGTAGTTGGGAGTCTGAGTGTGACCTGTGACACAGAATAAAACAAGTCTCTTGGGTCTAGTAAGTTTATCCAATGCAGTAATAGTTTGAGCAACTTTATTAATGATAACATTGAACATCTTGTTTAAAGTCTTTGCTTGCTGGCAGTTAGCTAGACCAAAGAAAGGGACGGGAAGTGGATGCATGTATAAACCCATTTGCTCTAAAATAAATATGTAAATGACCTCAACTGCAGAGAAGAGATTATCTGTTGTGGCTCATGTATGCAATCTGTCTCCTGTGAGTCAAGAAACTGGTGTTTAGCTTGGAGTCCAACTCCAAATTCTTCACCATAAACACTGGGCAAGCACTCATCAAGCTTCCTGAAGGGACAAATCTCGCTAATCCACACACTCTATAGTTCATTCAAAGCAGCAAACACGGAGCTGGAGGGAGCAAGGGGAAACACTGATTGATTATTTTGGAGTGTCTCTGGATAAAAATGCTCGAGTGAGTCAGGTGCCTACCACCCACTGATTTTCTCTGCACTTAGCAGATGTCTACATCGCATGTGAAATTTGGGGTTTGGCAAGTATTTTTCTAAATTTTGTATGCATGAAGTAATGAAGAAGGTGAACTGAGACTAAACAAGTTATCAAATAGTCAAGTTACATTTTACCATAAATGTCTTTATTTTTGTTATTGGAGTTGTGTACTTTATCATAAAAGGTATCGATCTAGCAAAACACTTGAACGTGAGTCAGAATCATTGAAGCTAGCAGGATTACTCGCGTGGTGAGAAGCACAAATGTGAATGACAGAGATTAGGTGCTACTGTATACAGTCAACTCATTTGCGATAGGTTTCTCAAGAGCTCTAAAATAGTCTAAAATAGGCAAGACCACACTGTGTTTTCATGTTAAGTTGGCACATTTGGACCATAAGCATTTTTGACACTCTTTGCCTGGGGTCATGGTGAACACCATGGGCTTCAGAGGAGCTGGATTCTCATTGTGTGAGATCGGCTCCTCTTAGGAAATACAGCTGTGGAAACTAGACCCGTGCTTTTTTTGCTATGAATATAGTAGCAAATTTTCAGATCTTAGCCTTACAGTAACAGCTTCTAGGAGGAAGATAGCAATTGAATCAATATGGTTTTGATAATCTTAAGAGAGAATTCATTTAAGAAAATCGTAAGGCATTATTCTGCAGTAGATCTCTGTCATCACTGACCAGATCTAATCTCAGTTTAGGTCTTAATGCAGTCAGTAGGATTTATTATAATGGATTAACATTTGTATAAAAGGCATACACAAGTCAAGTACAAGTATTGCTAAATTAATTCCTCATACAAAGTATACGAATAATGCACTGTAAACAACTGCTTCTCATAGGTGCTTCAGTTTCCAGGCTTTAATAGTTGCTTGTCATCTTTGGTTAATGCAAGATTTTTTCTGTCCTCAGGAGATCCACTACAACAGCTGAACTTTTACAAACTGAGTCCTTGCTCAATTACTTGATTCCTTATACTTTGAAGAACAAAGGTTTTGTTCAACCAGATCAACATGTGAACCAAAACAACCAAGTGAACTGTATTTTTTATGTTGCTAACATACAAACATGTGCATATGTGTATATATATACGTGTACATATATATATCTCCACGTATATGAACATCCCCCCCTCCTTCTGCCCCAGGGAGCACCTAGGCCAACAGATGCATTTAGCATCTGCCATAAGGCCATCGAACAGGAATACATGCCAGCATCGGGGGGCTGTTTAGACACACACAGACACATACAACTATGGATTTCTAAAGTGAGCACAAGAATAGTTTTGATCGTGACTCAATATGGCCCTGTAGAAAGAAGGGAAGTCCCATGACTCTCCAATAAACAGAATCAGTTGCACGAGCACAGTCCCTCCACTTTGAACGTATCTGACTCCTCCCCATGCTGCTGTAACTGTGGTCTCAACATTTCTGCCTCGCGTATCAGTATCTGTTTCATTACGCGGCAGTGTAATCTGAAAATCCACTGGCTAGTCTCAAAAGCTAAACCAGTTTCTGATGCAAAGAAGGTCACTTAAACCCACTGTCTGTCTGCAGGTCTGAAAACTAGTCCAAAATATCCAGAAACTGAATTCTATTACAAATTGCTCTAAATATTAGTGAAAGATTCAAGGGGAATTTAGAGAGAAGTGGAAGGTGTGTATAATCGTGTAAGAAAAGGAATTAATCGGTCTTTCTGCATCACGGAGAACATTCTCCAGTACCATCCTCACTAGTACCACATTAAAACTGTTAATAAATCATTTAAGTTAGATACCCAATGCATCATCTAAATTCATTTATTTGCAACTGCAGGACTTCCCCTGACTATATTCTGTAGTGTTCTGTTTATTTATAAATGTCTCTATGAACTCCACAGGGAGACTATTTCGCAGGTTCATGGCTAGAAAGCTTTTCCTTATTACACTTGGCTCTTTTCCCCTTACTTACATTATTTTCATTTCTAGCTATCACCTGTAACTTCTGTTATCACAACTGGTAGGCTGTTTTTTTCTAGTTTTTTGCTATCTGCAAAGGAGAGGGATGAACAAATGTGAGGAACAGTGTACTCGTCAGCAATGTTACAGCAAGGATCTGGTTCTCAATAGTAATATTTCATGCCATTTCATGGGTGCAACCATGGCAGAGTAATAGCCATTTTCTCACGGTGGACTTACCTAATTTGTGGCTTGGCTGAAAACTTCATACTTCACTCCTTAGAGCAAAGAATTGAAATTGAGGCATGCATCAAAACTGGTTTAATTCTTTAAAGTTGCTGAGCAAGCACTGTTCTCACGGACTTCATTAGCAGAACTAGGCCACCTATAAGTAGTTATGTATGGATTCTGCAATCCATTTTAACCTTTTAATATTGGCACTTTTGAACAGCAATGTTTACCTTCTCTACAGTCAATCGAAAAATGAAACACTTGGCCATGTGCCAGACAAGAGCTCCACATGTACTCCCTCGCTGAGCAGCCACAGTTACCTTATGGTATTTTTAATACTCTGTGGAGTCCTGGCAGCACCCTAAACCCCTTCTGAGACTTGGAGAAACTGCACACCTCATCTACGCATCTCCCTTGTACTCATCCTGAACTCAGCCTGACCTCTGATTGACGACCAACCCCATCTGACCTGGAGGAGACAACGTCAGGGTTGTCCTGGGCCCTTGGGCTATTCTGGCTGTCATGCACCTGGGTTACATGGACGGATGAGACACATGGAGAGGGCCAGGTCTTTCACAGCATACCAGGATCCATTGCCAGGATCCATCCACAGGGGGATTTTTATCCATACAGAGTAGCCTGGTATTTCTTTCTAAAGCAGGCCAGCTGGGCTGCCCCAAACCCATCCCTGACAGTCCTCCAGCAGGTGAGTGGGGTGGTAGTAATTCGGGTACACTTGTAGCCAGTGAATCTAGTATCAGTGTTGTCTAGAGTGCTAGCAGTCAATAAATATTCCACCCTTTGCCAAGTCCTGCAGAGTCCTGAAGACACAGGATGAAGGTACATCACCACTGAATCAATAAAACTATACTTTGGACCAGCCAGTCTCTCTTTAACTTTCTCTAAAACATCTCAATAGAAAACAAGCCATAATCTATAATAAACAGAAAAAAATAGGACAGACTCTCTCACAAAAAATTACACGTTCACAAAATAATTACATCGTTTTCTTGTTAATCACTGAATCCGTGTTTATAATTTGGTCAGATCATCCTGTAACCAGTCTGTAATCATGGCAGCCATCTCCTTGCTGGCATCTAGCACAAAGGCATGGCGGAGCCCCTTCTCACAAAGTCGAATGTCCCCGTCTGGAAAATCCATTTTGATCTCATCGTAGTAGTGCTGTGGACACCAGCTGTCTCCAGTTCCATAGTAAAAAATCAGCTAGAAATCAAAGCACATCAAATCATTAATTTGAAAAGTTACTGATGAAGCAACCAATATCCAAACAAAGGGCAGTGAATTATTTGGAAATAAGCAATGCTTTGTGACCCAAGATACACTGTGAGGAATAGCAATTGGTAGTTTTTGGTTGTTTCCAAGTCTGCAATTATGACGAAGCCAATTGAATGCTCTGTGACTCAGTTTCCTCATCTGTAAAACTGTGGAACACAATACAGTCTTAATTCTAAAAACAGAGATCTGCTGATGAAAGTCTGGCTCTCTTAAGAAATTTGTTATTATGGATCAAAACATCTAGCTGTCCATGGAGTCCACCCTTAACCAAGCAAGCTGCTGTGTTTTCCCTAGCTATTAGCAGTTCTCTATGTTAGCTTTCTAGCTACTTAATCAAATAGCAAAATTACCACTAAACTTGACGCTATGTCCCAGCTGAAGGGGCTAACCATGATGGCTTTCTTCTGGATATAAACTAAGAGAAAGTAGGAGGTTAATCCACATCTGTGAGTAGCTTTATCTTACTAGCATCCATTAGCTGTGATCTCAAACCACCTGCCCGGTTGGGGCCTTAGGTAGAGAAGTACCTATTTTTCTTAACCTTGGTGTCAGATGTAAACTAGAGGTGATTCACTCAGCCATGTCAGAATAACAGCAATTACGGTGATTCTCAGAAGCAAAACTTTTTTTGCTTGGAGAATTTTATAATCATAGAATAGTTTGAATTGGAGGGGACCTTTAAAGGTCATCTAGTCCAGCCCCCCTGCAATGAGCAGGGACATCTTCAATGAGACCAGGTTGCTCAGAGCCCCGTCTAACCTGACCTTGAATGTTTCCAGGGATGGGGCATCTGCCACCTTTCTGGGCAACTTGTGCCAGCGTTTCACCGCTCTCATCAGAGATTTCTTCCTTATATCTAGTCTGAATCTACCCTCTTTTAGTTTAAAACCATTAACCCTTGTCCTGTCACAACAGGCCCTGCTAAAAAGTCTGTCCCCATCTTTCTTGTAAGCCCCCTTTAAGTACTGAAAGGCTGCAATAAGGTGTCCCTGGAGCCTTCTCTTCTCCAGGCTGAACAACCCCAACTCTCTATCTTATCTTTGTGAAGTGCTGCCCAAGCAGAGCACAGCCACCTCTTGGAGATGAATGAGCAATCTTCTTTTGGGTTGTAATGTGAACTAAAATTCTAGCAAAGTCCATTTTGTTCTGATCTTGCCCTAACAACCTTGTTCAATGACATACGTGAAGCAGGTGCTATGAGGCCCACCTAAACACAAAAGTCATAAATTCCAGGCAAATATCATATTCAATGAAGTGTCTTTTCTCTCTGTTAGAGACACTGAATGTCACTCTTTCCCGAGTCATCATTTCCCCCCATTTTGATCTCAACTTGGCATGCTATAGCTATGTTTTTCAATTTCTATAAAGTATTTGAAGGGAGAGTGGTTGTCTGGGAGACAGTAAAAACCTATGGATTTAAAACTATACAGGAACAAGATTAATGATGAGGACTCTTTATACTAAAATGTTTGAATGCAGGTACCAGAAGGATTTTGATTGCTCAACATATCACACACACAGCTTGGCCCAATTCCATTACTCTTCTTTGTTTCATATTTCATTTCTGTACTTCAGTGAATAATTGAGCAATGCTAACATAAATTAGGGGACAAGAAGTTTTCCTTTCATCACAAAAATCTTCAATTCCATCATTTTTGTAGCCATGTGGAATATAAATAAATGCACCCACTGGGGCAGAGGTGGGCTAAGAGCCCAGACTGCATTTCACAAAATGTTACAAGTTTTTGTCTAACTTGCTTTTCTCTTGTTGAAGCGTACCCAAATCTTGGACATTACTGACTATTGGCTGTATCCAAAATATAGTATCTCAGTTGCATAGACACCAACCCAAGTTATACTTCTATGTATATGTAAAACATAGAACATAAACCATCCCATGTTAACAAACATTATTCGTTTCCTTTGTCACTCACTAATTGCTGGAAACAAGACACGTTGTTTGCTTTAGCAGGAAATTTCTTTTGATCTTGCCTTCGACTCATAAATCATAGGATGCCACACTAGCAAAAATTCTTCAAAAAAGCCAACGTAAAATGGCCAGCTGCATTCAGGACTTTTGAAAGCCAAACATCTGACTGAATTATGTTTAACCCTGGGCTCCGTTACCAACAGATACAAAAATAAAGATTATGAAACACAAAAAAAGAAATGGAGCAACTCCAGTTTAATGGAGTAGTCCTTGAAATTATTAGATATTTTAATAGGCTAATCATAGAATCTCATCACACGGTCATTTAGAAAAAGATGAAAAGTCATTTACACTTACAAAGGTGGATAAAGTACTTGGCTTAGTCTGCATGAACTGTGAAATGGGCTGTTCTCCAGGTAGGGTTGTAAACTTGAGAACTCACAGATTTGGCAATGCCTAAACAAAAGATTTATGTGCATTCTTAGCCTGCCTCTGGTATATTTGCATTACGGTTTAATCCTTCATTGCATGATCCAAAGGATCCTTGACTCACTCAATTCACTGACACGATGACGTTCAGCTGATGAGCTGCTATTTGATAGTATTTTTTGTTTTAAATTCTGTGTGTGGTCTGAGAATTTATTTACTACATATTTCATGGTTTACAGACAGAATTTATTTTCTTATGTGCATTCCTCTGGCACGCACCACTACAGGATTTGCATGCTCACATTTGTTAATTTAGTTTTGCAACACCTTAAGTGGCCATTTTTATCTCCATTTTGCAGATGGGGAGTACAGAAATTAATGTCACACTACATACATTAATCTGAAAGTATGTAGTGTAGTCTGAAACACCTAGAGCTGGTTTTCCAGTGTGCGTAGCATTACACAGTATCGACTATGCTCTTGGACTTAATTTGTGGGTGCTCTGAAACACTATCTGTCTGTAAAACAAATTTCAAGATCTTACATGAGATACTCAGAAAAGTGAGGATGAACTGTGACAGTCTATGAAAAATATTAATGGCTTCACCAACAGCTCATTCTTGGATGTGAAGTTTAAGTGCCTTTACTATGAAGCCATCCATTTTTACTTCATACAGTTCTCTGTTTCTTTCAACAGGCATTTTACCACTTCTGCCACAAATGAGGTAGGAGTTCTGCATCCCACTGTCTCCTTCATTACACAGCTCTTCTGGTTAATGAAAGAGAAAAAAGGAAAAGTGATGTTTTAATGAAAGACCACCTCTTAATGCATACATAAAAGGCATCTGAATTAAGATCAGTGCTAACTTTTAAATCCTTGGTAATGCAGTATCAACTGGTTTTAGCAGAGCTTGTGTATACAGTCTGCTAGACTTCAAGGAGGTAAACCAAAAAACAGGTATTTTACACATGGCACCTACATGTGTTGGCAACGGTTTTAGCACCTCTAGATCTGCTGCTTTAGGCCTCTGTCCCTTAAGGTAATGGTGTAATTGAAAGAAGTTGCACTGTCAGCTTCTGGCCAGAGGAACATGGGACACCTTCCTGCTGGGTGTCACACTGGGTGTGCCCAGCACAGAAATTAGTGATTCAGTTTGGATGTATTGTGTGTTTTTGAAGCAAATGTCATGTTTGTCCAGATTTACCATGCTTTGGTTCACATCATGGAGTAGTCTCGGAGTGTATGAACTCCTTTCAACTGAAACTAAGGCAACGATGCTCTTCAGGGTCACACTTAGTGAGCTCCGGTCACTAATGGTCATTCAGTCCATGGGAGCAGACAACTGTTGGCTGAAGTAATAACCCTCTGAGATGCCTACATTGGGAACATCAGGTCCTCACCATTTACTATTTATCTCTACAAATTCTCTTTTATTGTGCTGCTGCTGTTTTTAAGGCAAACATAGCCAAAGGCACCTGCTGACAACAGGAACGATAAGATTTTGGAAATTTATGTTCCTTTCCAAGCGGAAAAGGGCTGAATATTTACCAACTACTGGCTTTGCTGGCCAGTTGTTTGTCCAGTCTTTCCAAGTATGACTCCTTCTGTCTTGTCCCTTTCTGGTCTCAGGATTGCTCTACCCCCCTTTGACTCATTGTTTCAGCTCTACTCTCCTTACCTAGTCATTTCCAATTTCCACAACTTCTGCTTCTTATTCTAGTCCCACATTCTTGCCCTGCCAAGTCCAAATTTAGTCGTCTTGTTTCTCCGTCCCATTCTGAGTCTCAATTTCAACCCTAGTTGCTTTTCCCCCAAGCAATTCTCCACTTTTTTTCAGTCTGGAACCTCTATTCCCAGCCCTACTCCTCAAATATCTCTATGATTATCAGTTGTTCCTAGTAGCAGGGTTGGGTTCGGTTCAGCATAAAAACATCTAAATACAGGTAACTGTATTGTGGTGTTTACATGCGTACCAGGCATCCAAATTCCCACCACACAGTCAGGAAAGATATACTCAATAAAGTCATCAGTGCTTAGAAAGCTGCAGTAGACAGCAGGTGTCTACTGCAAGGTGGGTGAAGCTGCACTTCAGGCTCCACTAAGAACCCAGTTGCCTAAGTGAAGGTACCTACTGCCATTTGAGATGCTCTAGATATCTGAGGCACCTACATGAGACGGGAAGGTATGACAGATTTTATAAGAGACCCACAACTGTCTGACAAAACAGCTGGAGGCCAGATGGGGATATTCCACAGTGCCCCAAATTAAACCAGATGTCCATGTTTAAGGGCCAAATTCCACCTTGAATTCTTCAATAGATTTCTATTGACTTTCATGGGGTCATGGCACCTCTAATGCCTACTGCATGTGTGGATTCCTACAAGTAAACTCATAAAGCATGATTCAGGTGCCCATACATAAATATCTGGTAGTGTTAGGTTAACGGTTGGACTTGAAGATCTTAAAGGTCTTCTCCAACCTAAATGATTTTATGATCTCACGCAACTTAGACTGATACACTAGCATAACCTGCTTGGTCTCCACTGCTGCTACAGGCAGCTCATTTGT